AGTCTAGCATTTCCAAAATGTATTAAACCCAATGCTCCATCAGGAGACGTGTGATATGTGGCAGCATGAAAAGACATGGAGAGGAGAGAGGGAGAATTATAAAACCGTAAACCTGAGGAGAGCTGAACCATGTGGTGTTAAGAACAGACTGTGAGGGAGACAAAGGAGGACGTTATGGCACATTTCTCTAAAATACTACCTGGATCTAGTGTGTGGTTCATTTTTTGTGGTCAGGTTTTGAGTTTAAATGAGATTAATCTAAAGTATAAATGAGATTAACAGAAACTGAAAAGAGTGACAGAAATTACACCTCATGAAGACGCAATGTTTGAATTGTATAGCTATACAATATTTAATGAAAGTTCACTTTGCATGTCGTCAATTTTTTCAGGAAACATTTTAGTATTAGTAACATTTGACTGATGTACTTTATACAAAATGCTCCAGTTCCTCTTATTGTATGAGAGAAAGGCTGGGGACTCTATAAATTATCTGACCTTTGGGAACCACTTTCCTTTAAAGAGTACTATGACAGAGGCTAGGAGGTTTCAGAAGGGAGAGAAGTTTCCAAAACCAGTGACATTATCTTTGAGATGATAATTTAGGGGGGAAAAAGTGATTGTTCATACGCCTCCTCTGTCCAGGACTGCAGCCTCCTAGTTCTGAAGCAACAATGGCAGGAAATTTGCTAGAGGAGGGAGGGACACCAGCATTGTATTTTGACTCCCTCAGAGCATCAAAATACAATGCTCAGGCAGTGTCCCCAGCATCACCAAAAGGTCACCGGGGACACTGCCCAAGCACTGTTTAGCTGTGTGAGACTCATTGGTTTTTCCACCACCTCCAATGTAAACCTATCTGTGTCATTAATAGATGCATAGAGCAACAGACATAATTTAAAAAGCATGAAATTCCACTCAGTGTAGGCAGGAGTGTTGGTGAACTTGTGCCATTAAAATCTGGGCTTTTCCTTGGCGACATCTGCAATCTTTGCCTAAATAAAATCAAGTAGTTTTGTTGCCCAAACCTAACCGCCAACCCTGTCTTGCTTGCCAACCCCGTCAGCGTCAAAATATGATGCAAAAGGCTGCCTTATGCATCATTGTAGTAAAGCCCCGGGGTTCCCCACTGTCTTAAGTGAAGTTAAACTCTACTTAAAGGAGCATAAGCGAAATTCATCATTTCTAGATTGAAGGAATTAAAAAATTGCTATGTGAAGAACTAGAGGTGTAATTTCATCTGGAGTATAGCATGACCTCACACACCCTCTCTCTGTGTTGATCTCCAGCCCATTGTTTACAAGCCGGTCAGGCTGCACGTTCATGTACGTTCATGTGAATCCCCCCCCCTCCTCCTCCTCCTCCTCCTCCTCTCAGAGTCCTTGGCCCTCCCTCCCTATAAAAGGCTACAGCCAGTGAGCAATGGCATTACCTCTAAAGAAACAATGGTTGTTGGCGAAGAAGTTGTCGGATAAAGAAAGGGACAGAACCCGGATTAACATTGGCCTTGCATTTCCAAGGTGGAGAGCACTGCAAGAGCTAAAGGGGCTACAATCTGACTCGGAGCTAGCTCTTCTTCTCCTGGACAGGTACAACATAAAGTCAAATGTCTGTTTTAATTAGTGTTACAGTAATGTTAAGCACATGTCGCTATGTCGATTCAATTAAATTTAATGTTACAATCGTAGCATGGGTTAATGTCCGGAGTTTGAGTTATTAGTGGCTCGGTCCCAGCAATGGGTCAGGCGTTACGGTTGTGTTAGGTGAGTAGCCCGGCAGCCCAGCTAACATTTGCAATTAGCATTGTAAAATGTAGCCCGGCGGGCAGCCTAGTGGCTGTGTTTAGCTATTCCCTGGCCTACTTCAATGATGATGGTACCTGCAATAAATGTAATATATTTGCTGAAATGGAGGCGAGGCTCAGTGACTAGAAGAGCTGGTAGAAGCTGGTAGAGCTGCAAGCTACTCCAGTAGCCATAGTAGTTCTAGTGCTAACACTGGGAGCTAACGCTAACATTCCTCTCTTCTCCGTGAGCCGGGAGCCCGTGAGCCCACGGAGAAGAGTTGGAACGTTAGCATGGCAGCCGACTAGTGCCAACGCTAACGTCCCCACGCTTAAGCAGGCTCCCGGAACGTTAGCACGGCAGCCGACTAGTGCTAACGCTAACGTCCCCACGCTTCTCGGCTCCGGTGAGCTCTGTGAGCCGAGAAGCAGGTTCCCGGAACGTTAGCATGGCAGCCGACTAGTGCTAACGCTAACGTCCCCACGCTTAAGCAGGTTCCCGGAACGTTAGCATGGCAGCCGACTAGTGCTAACGCTAACGTCCCCACGCTTCTCGGCTCTGGCTCACTGAGCCTGGCGGAGAAGCGTAGGGACGTTAGCACTAGTCGGCTGCCATGCTAACGTTCCAACTCTTCTCTGTAAGACCTCACAGGCTCCCGGCTCAGTTGGAGTGTTAGCGTGGCAGCCGAGTAGTGCTAACGCTAACAGGAAAGCAGGGAAATACCTAAATACAGCAGAGACCGAGAGTGAGTGAAAGACATCGCTAACTTCTAAACTAAGCCAAACTAAGTTGGCTGTTTGGGTTTTATTTCCTCGCCCCTGTGGCGAGTGAATCTGCCTGCAGTGAAAGCGGGGATAACCGGTGCTTCCTCCTCAGGCTCCACTTCACTCAGCTGCCAGCACAGCCAGTTAGCCTCCCGTTTGAATCCAACCGGAGCACCGAGCCCTGGTTTGTTATTCAGGTTAATGTGGGAAGAAGCAGCGGGTATATCGGGCAGCTGAGTGAAGCTGAGTGAAGCGGAGCCTGCGGAAGAAACACCGGGACCGTCTGGATGTGATAGTCCATGGAGATGCTGCGGTGCTTGGCTGCACAGACGAGGGGGGGGGGGGGGGGGGGGGGGGGGGGGGGGGGGGGGGGGGGGGGGGGGGGGGGGGGGGGGGGGGGGGGGGGTGTTGGAGAGCAGAGGTAGAGGGAGGTATGGCTCATGACACACTTTGTTTCTACAGGCAGTGCACAACAGCGAACCTAACGGTGAAACGATTTCGCTTATTGCCCCTTTAAGTTACAGTAAGATGTGTCACAAGCACTCTCCAGAGTGCTGATCCTGGAGCTGTTGGGGATAGGTGACATCAAGGACTACGCCATCAATTACAGAGGTTTTGATAATGTGTTTGTCAGCTACTACGTCTGTTTCTCATATGGGCTTTTTATGTTTAAGATTTGAATCTTGGTGTCATCTCGATCCAGTAAATAAGTTTAAGTTAACTGTTGTAGTTGCTAAGTGTTACTGAACTGCATGGTTCTTAGGATGGCTGTCTGTCTGTTGCACTGAAACAGACCAAAATGTCTTGGCAACTAGATGAAATGCCATATTATTTGTACTCACATTCATGGTTCCCAGCTGATGAAGCTTATTGACTTTGGTTATCCCCTGACTTTTCCTTTAGCACCATTAGCAGGTTGACAGTTGTGGTTTAGAGAGAAATGTCTTCACAAATATTCAGTGGCTTACCATGAAATTTACAATTGATATTTATGGTCCCAAGGGGATAATTTTATTAGGATGATTTTTTGCCATTTTCCCTGTATTAGACAGGACAGCTTTAGAGTGAAAGGGGGTGAGAGAGTGGGGATGACATGCAGCAAAGGGCCGCAGGCTGGAATCGAACCTGCAAGGGCATAGCCTTTGTACGTAGGGCTCTACCAGGTCAGCTAGTGGGCATCCCAAGAGAATTAATTGTAATAACTTTGGTGATCCCCTGAGTTTTTCTCTTGCGCCACCATGAGGTTATTTATTATTGAAATATCTCCACAACAACATGGATTGACATGAAATTTGGTACAGGCATACCTTGTCCCCAGAGAATAAATTAATAAATTATAATAACATTTATATTCAAGTTTTTCATTTCCTGACATCATCAGGTCAAAATACTTTGTCTGAATTTCGAATACTCTATCACTCTGTTATACTGGCAGTGTTTTTCCCATTTGGATTTTATTTCATACACGGAGACTTTGAATTCAGCCCAGTTGCCAGAAGAAACTGTTCCCGCAAACCATGAATACGTTACATTTCCACATTTCATATGTATCATATCAACGTTTCTAAAGTGACTCAATGTATAAGCTAACTATGTTATCAGGAGGTGGTGGGAATGGTGGATGCCAGCTGCAGACCACTGATTGAGACAGAGATTGCTTTTTAGGGAGTCATTGCTGTGTTTCCAGTGGCTAATTAGCTCCCAAATGTTGGTGCTGGTGAAATATTTGTATTTGTGTCTTTGAGTGTGTTTGTCTCTGTGTTATAACACTCACTGGCCACTTCAAGCTAAAGGGGACCAGAAGAGGCCCTCACTCTCACATGGTGAGAGATTTACATAACACACAACTGAGGTAAGCAGGTAAGACTGTGCATGTGTTTGCAATCATTACACCTGAACCATGCAAACACCCGTCATAATAGTATGGCTGTGTGTCCGCTCGTTTACCTCTCAGATGTGTGTGTGTGTATATCTGTTTGTGTATGTGTATGTCCGTGTTTATATCTGCATGACATGTCTGTGCCTGGTGATGCAGTGATAATGTCCATCAGAGCACGCATGGCATCCTGCCCATTTCAAGGTACTTACCACTACTGCTTTCACCTCCTGTATAAGAAAAAAAGCATCATTACTGTGATGGTATGGAATGAAATTTTCAGTTTTCTACAGTGCATGTCAATGTACAAATGATGTGCTATAATTTATATACAGTAATTATGTATTATTTTCATGTTGAAACTGTGTAGCTATGCATTTTATTTTATTTTTTTATTATTCTATTTCATTTATTTCATTATTCTTTTTTCATGATTAAAACAGTTTTTACCAGTGTTGAATATATATTTACATTTGTTAGGTTTTGGTTTCTGGCTGGATCCCAAAGCAGAGACGGACGCAGGTTTATGGAAACAAAAAGTACATTGACGAAGGAAAAAACAAAAATTGCAGGCAGTGGAGGCAGGGTGCTGGCTGGCTGGGAGGTTGTCCACTAGTGAAGAAAGACCTGTGATCTCTGGGGATGACACAAGAGTTGAGCACATGCAAAACGGCAAAAACACAAGTAAGCACAATAATGCTCGAGGCACGAAAAAACTCTGACAAGGAAGAAATCACTGCAAACGCAACACTGGAAAAGAGTATGCTTGGCATCACCGACACGGACGGAATTATCTGACATAGTATTGGAGTGAGGACCAGGTATATGCATGCAAGTTGATGAGCTGAGTGGAATCAGGTGTGCCTCATCAGCTGCAGTGGGAAGAGCCAGTCACACCCCCTGCCACACTCAAGCCTGGCAGGAACAGAAACAGAAAGGGCAGGGGGAAGGGAGAACACACAAAAATCCACCCAAAAACCAAAACCAAAACAGACTTTCAACAAAGGGTGGGTGTTTAATGCTCTCTCATACCTTAACGACAAAATAGGTTGATTTCCACTGACTTCCAAAATGACATATTACTGTTCTATTGGTCACAGTATGCAGTTGCATCTATACTGTAAAACTTGATGGTTAGGTTTAGGCAACAAAACTAGGTGGGTAGGGTTAGAAAAAACATCATGTTTTTGTCACAGTGGGCACTTTTTTACCTGCCATACTGCCAGTCTCTCAATTAACCTGGTCAATTTCTACTAACTCCGCCTCTCCACCACACCTACCTGTCCACACATCTCCCACTCCTGCCAATCCACCACACCCACCTCATCAAGCCAACTGCTCTCACCTGTGGATCATCACCTCCTGCCAGTATAAAGACTCCTGCTTCACAGAATCTCCTCGCCAGATTGTTCTTTGTCATTTATGCAAGACTTTCTAGCATTTGATTCCGAACTGCTTCCTTGTTATTGACCCTGCCCGTTCCTGACTCTTCTGCTTCGTCTGCTCCCCGGTAAACCACTCTGCCTTCTGTTTTCAACCACGAGCTCTGCCTCTGCCTTCCTGGTTCCTGTTCACCTGTTTGATGCGGCTGCCTGGAAAGACCGTCACCCCACTCTCCAAAGTGAGTTTACTGGTTAAATCACCAGTGATCCTCTGAGCTGTTGATTGCTTTGTTGTGTAGTTGCATACTCTGCCTTTGTGTGTGCGTCACAGATTCCATGTTTTATCGCTGCTGTCAAGCTCTCCCCTGTCCATGGCCGGCTTTGCATTAGAGAGACTGTTTCCTCCGTGAGTACTCCTGGTTTTGGAAATCCCGCTCTTCTTACATCGCTCTCTGCCTGCCCTCTCTCATTACCATTGCAAACAATTGGACTGTCTGCTGTGTGTGCGTCCAGCGGATGCCGGCTCCTCACCTGTGTGCTGCCTCAGCGTTCCACGTGGAGAGCTGTGGACTGATTCTATTCCCCTGAGGGCTCTGAACCTGAACATCGACACTCTCTTGCTTTACCAGTCTGCACTCCCTATATTTATTGAAGTGGTGAAGTAAAGCTCAGTATAAACTGTTCCATCTGTTCCTGGTGTGCATTGGAGTTCAAACCCAATAACGTAACATGACATATGTCATACAGTATGTTGTTTTCAGATACTATGCTTTAATGTTATTAAAAGAAATCAACGTTGACTTTGGGACACAAACACCAGTATCTTGGATGAAAGTCCTGTGCTTGATTGATCCATCCACCACCCATCTTGCGCACCCTATAGGGACTCTTTGATCTTTATACAACATTATGCAGACCAGGTTCCATTAAGTGCACTGGACTTTGACGTCAATATGACATAATGACCAAACTGTGACTACAGCTTTCAGGTCCATCACATGATGCCACTGAGCCCAAAAGAATTTTACCCATAGACTGGCATTGTTAAAGAGCCAAATGAAAATCAGTGGATACATTTTTTTTTTTTGGGGGGTATCACAGCCCCCATGAAATGACTCAGGATTTGATTCAGCATTTATAGGAATGAACAGAGCCCCGCTTCCAATGCTGTATCCAGTCCTCGTTATACACACACGACGCAGACTTAATTGCTTTTCATGCTCTGCTACAGGGCGCCGCCTTACAAAAAACATGAGTTTGGATCGTATAAAGCTGCTTGCTAAGTAAACATATGTGGCCCTTTTTCGGTGAGGCTGTCCATGTTTCATCACCTCCAGTATATTGTTCTTTTTTAGCCCCATTTTGAGTCAAGATTTAAAACTCATTCATTTTTATTATTTGCTGTATAAGACAAGTGTATTTTTTTTCCAATCCTCAAAATAATTACTGGTGTCAGTTTTTGATCTTCGGAGTGTTTCAGTGTACATTTTTCAAATTCTTTACAGTGGGTTTAGGAGAATGTGTAAGGGTTTTGTTTTTCTCTTGATAACTGACTTCTTACAGTGCAATTAAACTAAACTTCCTGACTGGTGATCCAACACAAGTGCTATTAGACCTATAAGTAGGACATTTGCACCGTGGCATTTACAAAGTCTGTGAGCTAAAGGTTAGAGCTTGTGGCCTGAATCCCCATGCAGACTGGGAAAGTCTTGGCAGGCAAAATGAGCAAGTAACACCCTCGACTGTATTGGTGAATACCACAGAGATCCCCTGAGCAAGGCACTTAACCCCACAGCTGCTCCAGTAGAGCGGCTCAGAGGGAAGTCCCCAGATCTGATTACATATAGCTGAATGTGAAACTGTATTGACTGGAATGAAGTTATGAGTGCACATATAAACACAACACTGAAACTATAAAGGCGCAGATTGACTATGTGGCGTGCTTGTATGCTGTCTGTGGTGCCGAACACCATGGCAACACTAAATAATGTGTCATGGCAGCTGTATACTTTTTGTATATTTGTTTTTCCTTTCTGGGTTGGCAATAAGCAAATAAATTCAGCGCAAATTGGGCTGGTTAGTAGGATGTTTAATCGTTTCAGCCCCTCTCAAAAGACCTTTTCATAAAATATGTATAAATGATTATGTACATTCCCCAGCGGAGGATTACGTGCCCATGGCCAAGGGCCCTCTGTCAGCTTTTCTCCAGGGTCCACATACCCCTGGATGTGGAGCTGTGGACTTCGTATTTCTCTTTCAGGGATTTTGTGCCTATGCTCTCTGAACTATTATTTGCTATGACTGAATGAACAACATTTCAAGCTCTACCCAATCACAGTACAATTGGGCGGTACTTGTCCCCCCTGACCATTCTAGCATCAACCTTGTCAAAACCTGGCACCTACATGACCCAAGATGCAACTTTACCGTTGATAGATTGGTCCATGAAAGTGGTGTAAAATGACTCAGGTCTTTTACATCACTGGGCCCATAGAGCAAGTGCACTGGAGACTTCCACTGGTCAAGTCGGTTAACTTCTGGTTTAGCACTAAAATGGGGATAAAATGAGTCCATCATGCAGCTCTTCTGGACTTTCGAAATGTGATCACACCGAATGGATTCAATCCAGATAGCGAAACAAGTCATTTCACAATGTACCTTAATGTAGCCTACATAATGTATCAGATTTCATACAGCTCCCCCTAGAGCCACATAATGCTTTGTACATCTTATTTCACAAGACCTGTAAACAGACTGAAATGTGAAAAATCAGAAGCGTTTGCCTTTAACATCAGAATATTAAATTGGTATCGTAAGCAAGTCAGCCTTACAGAGCTGTTAGCATCGCTGTAGATTCTCAGTTTTTTAAGGCTTTAGAAGATCTTTTCATACATATTATTACAATACACAATCCTGACAGAGAAATTAAAGAAAAATGTGCAGTCTATGTAACATTAAACTCTGATTTCAGTATTGAGTTCCAGCATTGAGTTCAAAGTGTTTTCCATCACATCTTTGCCTCTGATATGATATAAATCTCTCTGTATAATTTCCTTTCTGCTCTTAAAAAGCGAAAAGAAAAGTGGTTATTGATCAAATGTTGACTTGACTCATCTAAACTGTTGATAGCCACAAAATAAACACAGTTACAATAATAGAATACTTGTTAAAAAAAATGTGGAAAAAAAAGGATCCAGGTGATGAGATCTGTCCTCATCACTTCCATTTTTTACCTAACCCTCGCTGAGAGTTTGATAAGTTGTGTTTGTGTCTCGCTGACAGCAGCTGTCTCCTGCTGTGTGACAGACTGGACTCAACTCTGCAACGAAATCAATCCTCTGATCATCTGTGATTACAAATGAAACTCTGCTCCCATTTGTCTCCAATAGGAACAGTGACGAAGCATTTTCCCATCACATCTTTCGACATCCATTTGTCTGATTTGTTCTGTTGCAGATAATTAAACCATAATCAGCAGCAAGGATCTACAAAAACGACAAAATGACGTCTTTCATTTTATACGTCTTTTTCCTTTGGCTCTGCTTTATCTCCCTCCACCTATTCATCCTGTTTACAATTTGCTCAAATTTGTTTTGTGTCAGCTGCATGATTAGGGTGCCATGCTTACCTGACAGTTGTTGCTATGGTGACAAGGTCTCTGAAATGTGTTTGTTCTGTTCTCTCCCCTGTATCTCTGCTTTTTGCTCCCACCTTAAAATACACTCTTTGTTTTTTAACCTTTGAAAAAGATGCACTGAGCATTTCAGCCGTTCTGTTGTTTTCAACAGCACTGCTGCTTAAACTCTGCTGCACCCACCTGGGAGCTGCCCAGAGCAACAGACTGAGGAAGAGGAAGAAAGAGGAACCACAGAAGGTGGGTGGAGGTGTGCAATATTCTGTCTTTTTATAAGGAAAATAACAGTGTAAAGTGTTTTCTTGTGGTAATTTGAAGTAGTAAACTTAATAGTCTCTTAGTCTGGAGGTTGTCCTGTTGTAATTGCTTCAAATGTGTTACAAGTATTGTCACATGAAAGAAAGCAATCTGCCTTTTGTAGCCTTTTTACCTGCTTTCAGTTTAGAAATCTAATGATATATGATAATGATAATAAAAGCTTTCTTTATGGACATACATTCCCACCCTCCAAGAAGAAACAACAACAACAACCATATCAAACATATACAGAAATGCGAGTGTATAAAAATGAGATTTTAGTAGTAATTTAAAAGAAGTCAGTGAGGTTGCAAGGCAAATTTCAACAGGGAGACTGTTCTAGAATTTTGGGGTCCTGACAGCAAAAGCACAGTCTCCTTTAGTTGTAAGTTTAGACTGAGGGACTGTGTGCAGGTATATCGGGGCATAAGAGTTAGCTAGGTCATATAGTGCTTCAAAGGTAATGAGAAAAACCTTAAAATCAATCCCGAAGTTAACAGGAAGCCAATGCAGTGCTGCTTAAATGGAGGTTATGTGATCTCTTTGTTTGATTGAGTTGACAATCTTACTGCTGCGTTTTGTACAATTTTAAAGCGTGAGCGCGCTTTATTGTTTAGGTAGTTAAAGCAGCTGTGCAGAACTTTACGTTTTTGTTGATTATAGCGCCCCCTTTGGTCGAAGTGGTATGACACAAACAGCCTGGTGTCGTAAAATTCCAACTACAGCCGGCATTCGGCCTCATTCGTAAAATCTCGACTGCAACCGGCAATTAGCGCATGCATTTGTTTTGGAGAGCGAGACAACACAGCAAAGTTGCTACCTGCAGCCTTCGCTTGCAAAGCTAATGTTACTAACGTCAGGTCAGTCCAAGTAATTAGTGGAAACAACAAAATTACTCAGTAAATTCTCCTGTCGTGTTTCTGTTCTGATCTAATCCTAACACAGCATCGCTTGCAAAACTAACGTTACTAACGTCAGGTCAGTCCAAGTAATTAGTGGAAACATGCTAACGTTACACACAGGTTAGTAGTAAAGTAAGACCTGTTCATAAATGTTCTGGTGTAGCTCTGAATTTCTTATAAACTGAGGACAACTGCCTGCTGTGTATTTGTGTTCATGGTCACAGTCACAGATAATTTTGTGGCGTTTGTTGTACTAGACAAAAGCGGTTCACATCAGCTACATTTAGCTTGCTTATAACTTCCATATTGTCATATATTGGAGTGAAACGTCTAACAAGTTGTGGTATATTCTCTAAATAAAAACAAAAATAACAAACCTGTCTATTAGGAAAAGGGGCAACAAATCTCTCAGCTCTCTCCACTTGGTGAATGCCTGACCGAGGTTTACACGCATTTGGGCTCGAGCCCTGTCACTGTCCCGTTCAGCCTTCTTCTGTTCTTTTTCTTTTAGATGGTGCTCCTTCTTTATCCGCCATGACATTGAAAGTACAACCAAGTCCTTATAGATACGTCTGGTAAAACTGTTATGTGTTATGTGTTCAGCAGTACCGCTTACTCGAAGAACACTCTCTGTAAACACGGCTCCTTCTTCTTCTGTGGTTTAAAGGCTGCGGGCTTGCAGAATTACTTCCGCCTCCGGGTGCCATATTCTGGTTTGCTGACTTCCGCTGTGTCCAACCCGAGCCAGGCTACACTAAATAGCCATATAGAGAAAGGCTTTTTCGTCGCTGTTGGGTTCAAATAAATATGTGGATCTTCAAGGGGGGGTAATATGAACTAGGGACAGTTTGATAAATGGTAAAATGTTCCGCACAGCTGCTTTAAAGAGTGAATGGCAGTAGTCAGTTCTTTAGAAACAACTTTCTATGAATTGGGAAATAACTTTCTCCAAATCAGAGACTGATAAAAATGGTCTGATTTTTTAAATCAACTGAAGTTGATAAAAAAAACAGGACTGAACAACATGATTGACATGATTGTTGAATGTTAAATTGGAATCAAAAATAAGTCCTAGATTTCTAGCAACGAACTCAACAGAAAGTGCCAAGTTAACATGTGTCACTGAAGACTCAAGTGTTATGTGGCCCAAATAATATTACAGGTTTTTCTTCATTGAGTTGGAGGAAGGTATTAGACACCCAGCACGTAATATTCCCCAGACATTTGTTAAAATGTCAGTGTGTTGAGGGTTTCAGGTTTCATACACACATAGAGATGCATGTCATCGGCATAACAGTGGAAAGAGCATGTCAATAAAAGTCTACAGCCAAGCTAGCAGCTCTGCAAGTAATACTTCTTGTAAAGAAAACCAAGCTGTTCAATAGATGAACTTAGGGGGAAACCTTATGATCACACAGAAGGTGTGTGTATGTACTGCTAGCTCACCTTTAGCACCAGTGAGCTAGCTAACTTTACAGCTCAGTCGAGGAGGACACCATAAATAATTACATCCCTCTCCCTAGCATGAGCCTCTCATCAATGAGTAGATGCACACTTCCTTCTGTGCGGTGATACAGTTGGCAGGTGTAGTTGGATAGGATAAAAATACTTCCTGTATTATGCTTTGTGTTTATTTCCAATTAACTTGCACAGATATGATGTGTCTTTTTTTGCTTCCTGATTAGCTGTATTTCATGCTAATACATGGCCCATGTGGCTGCTACATTACTCTTTACCTTTTCCCGTTGTCATGTCTTTCCAGTATAACTTTTTGAAGCAGGATGCGTGAGTATTGACACATTTTTTTCCAGCGCAGTTTTAGAATTTGTTAGAAAAAAAACACTTGATTGATGGTGCATGCTGGAGGGATGACAACGCAGCGCAGAAACCAGGCCACACTTCAATTATAATAGAGGGGTATTGATCCCATCTGAACACGGTGGCTGCCTCAAAGCAGAGTCACAGTCATGCACTCATACAGATGATCCTGCACACAGTCTCACGGCATTCACAGACAAACATTTGCATAGCAAAGCACACATGTCAACCAGTTATTTGCACACTTGATCACTGTCTCATTTGCTCATTTGTTATGCAGTATCGTATGTTTCCCCCCTCGTTCATTTGATCACTGTTGAATCACCTCAGGCGGGATGGGTGCATGCATGTGATATGGCAGCTGCACAATATTCATAGCCTCCTGCTCCATTTGAAGGCTCTAAAAACAGCAGTATAATTGTCTAATCTTCCACAGCAGGTGGTGCATACAGAAATAAAGCAAGTGAAGCTGCAGCTTTGCTCTGACCGACCATGATCATCACATTGTTTCCATGTGATTTCTGTTTATGCCGCTTTTACTGTGTGTCTTGGCCAGGGTTTTCATTCCCCACACTAGCACTGATTGAACAATCTTTATTCCAGTGTAATGCCAGTGAAATAAGGGGCTTAGGCCTCATTTCTTGTCAGTAAATTCTTTTGTGAATCACTTTCTGTTCTTCATTTTCCATGTTTTTTTGATTATTTCTCTGTTCTCTAATCTCCTCCTCAGCCCTACTCTGCTTCAGTTTCTACTCTTAATCATCAGTATGAATCAATCCCATGTTTTGTGCAACACACTGCTGCTCACATCTGTCTGACAAATGTGGCCATACTAATGCAGGCTATATCTCGTGTGTGTGGAGAATAGTGTGGATGCGCCACACTTTTCCCCCGATGCCATTGATGATGCAGATGTGCACTTTGTTCATGTTTTAGTCTTTTTCATAGCAACAGAAAAGCTTAAGTCTGAACAGCTGCTGACAACTAAACAAAAACCCAGAGAGAAGATGCTTAATTTAACCAATTGAATAGTTAGAATTTCTACAGTTGTAACGTGATAAAAATGAACAATTGTACAGCTTAATATGAAATATGATGCATCTCAAGGCTATCTTAAGGCTCAGTAACTTTTACAACATAATGGGAGCTTCCACACATACATCATTTATATCTGTCTGATAGGGATACATACATCTTTCTGGTGTATTTTGTGAATGACTTTGGTCAAAAACAGGGCTAGAGGCTGGATTACTAACTAATATATTTGACAGTGCTGTGCGCAGGAAGGCCAAACTTACAACTGCAGATACCTTACACTCATTACACTTAGAGCTTGAGCTGCTTCCATTCTTAGGGTCCTAAGAACCAGCAAGAATCTATATTCCTTTTGCCGTACAGGTATTGAACACAGAGTGATTGCACAAGGGAGCACAGTTATTTTATAAAATGTGCTCACTTAATGTATTTCTGCAACCTGCATATATGCACTATTGTAGCTTGTACATTGTATATTTGTACGTTAATGGTGTATTGTGTTATGTGTTTGTATGAACCTTTGCTGTATTTGAGAGAAGTCAAAAACAAATTTCCACCGAGGGACAATAACATCTGTTTATCTATAATTTTTAGGATGTGTCTTGTGAAGGGACTCTGTGGGAAAAAACAAGTTTTATGTACTTTATTATTTTGGTTTACATGGTGAGTATTCTTAAATAAATGTCTGTTTAGTGACATTATCACAAACAAACACAAATTACTGTCAGTAATATTTCAGCACATGAATGCTGGTTGCAGTGGACTTAATGGAAATTTGTATAGGCAACAGCATACAAACTGCACAGAAGATAGGTTAGAGGTCATATCCGGCCATATTTATGCCTTAGATGTTGTCAAAAATGTTGATTTTTCAATTCATTTAAATTCATTTTTCACAATATTGATACGGCACAAGCTGTGCTTTCTTGCTCTATCTTAATGTTAACATTTACTACAGTTATTCTGCTGTTCTGTGCCATTAACCAAGTGAAGAAAATTTGTGGATGCCATGTTGTAGTCTTGTTATATTTATCTTTTAATAAAAAATTAAACTTATGATCTCAATGTCAATGTTTCCCCATGGTATCGAAAGTAGCGTTAAATATAGATATTTTTCAAGGAATTGTATCAAAATAAGAAACTCCAGTGACAACACCATGGCTTAGAGTTGCTATGCTACAACAGGCAACCACGCACCATCATACAAAATAAGTACTGGCGAATCACAGTCATCAATACACTCAATGAACTGTTATTATTGTTGCTACCAGTTCAAATATCACAGTGTAGGCTACTACAGATTTGCATGTGGTTTGTCAAAGTGGTGTTGCTTGACTGCTGTGGGTAAAATCAATGTCACACAGTCTACTGTCTCTCTGTTTCATCAATTTTAAATATATTAATTTAATGTATTTCTTTCTGAGTGAGGGGACCCCAGGACTCACTTGGCAAACTTAATAAAATCCTCTCACATTAATCAGTTATTCTCCTTTTCCTTGTTTCAAAACAGTATCTATGCCTTACGGGCTAAGATGAACATGATTTGATCAACATATTCGGTATCATGTGTACGCATCTTATGCGCGTGTACGCATGAAACTACCTTGTTGGTTTCAACCGCGGAGTAACAACCAGGGAACCCTGAGTGCTGCGGCGACCTGAGCACAGCCGCGGAGGGAGACAGCATCCGAAGAAGAAGCCTGCCGTCCGGGTCTACTTTCCAACGGCATCATTTGCGCCTCACAGGGAGAAGGCTGGTGAAGTGTCACCATCGGCTGCGTGTCATTTAACGTTTTATGACAAAAAAATAAACCCTCTCGATTATTATCTGAACCGGGTGCAGCTTCGCCGAGGTGTTCGATGAAACTTTGCCTTGCGAGGTTACCATATGCCCGCTCCACCTGAAAAAATGATATTTTAGGGTATTATGTTAGCTAGTTAATTAATTTGTGTCAGTAAAGTTAGAGCAATAACGTTGTCTGTCAACTGAGAGGAGACATTTTTTTTCTTCTCATCATCAGACGACTGTTTCCTGCCCTGTCTCCCCGCCTTAAAGCCAGCTATTCTGGTTGAATCAAGCCCAAAAGCGATTCATCTTCTGAGGAGACCCGACTGACTGCGCCGAAATGGGGGTAAGGGCTAAATTTATCCTTTGTGATTTTAGCTAACGTTATTACGCAGTTAAAATGTTGGTTATGTTAACGTTATGGTTAGCTGTACAGTCTGGATGTGGTGACGGTAAGGGTTAGTCAGTGTATCGGTGAAGGAAAGGGTTAAAGTGTATGGAGGCACAGGCATGATGTTAGAATGACATTGAACACTGGATATATAACGTTGTGGTTTGTTTTAGCTAGCTTACCTGTTCACGTTATGTGGCAAACTGCTTAAACCGCATTGATGCATTCAATGTCGTTCTGTCAAACAGTAATTGCCTTTGGGATTACGTTAGGTGTCTGCCCTTAACGTCGGTTAGCACATCAAATCAATGCGTTGCAATTTATGATAACGACTAGGATTATCAGGTAATGGAGGGGATGTTTTTTGTCTGGACACAGCCTCTTTTTCTGAGGAACATGCGCCAGATTAGTGAGCCAGTCCTCCGCATCCAGAGTCCAGTCGGTGCGACAGAACCGGTGCAGGGTGGTTACGCGTTACAGTAACGCTCCTCAGTCTCAGTAGTCTGTACAGCTCTCAACAAAATAAAAAAAAGTCACTATTTCTATCACCCCATCACAATTAAGTTGATCAACCAAGCAGCCATTTGCCACCTGCAAATTCTGATAAATGTTCCTCAGTGGATGAGAGGCAGTGGAGTGTACTTTGACAGCGGCAGAGATACACAGCTTCAAATTTAATCACTAATCATTAACATAACCATTTGACATCTACATGGTTTGGTTTCATCTTCATTCACAGCAAACACACATATGTTACCTTCATTTTTAAGCTGCCAGAGAAGCATCCTGGCGATTTCGGAGCTGTAACGCAAAAGTAATGTAACGAGCAACTGAACCAAATAAGAGACCGGGCCCAGTGTGCCGACCAGCGTCATTTATCTGAACCAGAAATAAGGGATTAATGTGTTTGTAACAAGCATCGGTTATGTAGTGGCTGGAAAATGTGCTGCTTTATTCGCCGGTTTCCAAAAAACGAGATTACACCGACGGAACATCTGGCACCCGGAGCTGGACCCGCTGCGGACGATTGAGGGAATTCACAGCTCCTAAATACACGATTAGTCACACTGCACAATGACACGAGCGAGTCCGGCCAGAAATGGAATAGTTTGTGGATGATATGCAGGTGAAACGCGCCATTACGCACGGGAATATGCAACCTGCTGATGGTGAAAACCGCAGCCCCGACTGCGGAATATCATGCCATTCCTCCCAGTCTGACTGCAGCAACTCTTAATCAGCAAATACATGTGTTTTGTTAATTATTCACAATAAAGCAGAGCTAACTGACAGTCGTGAATCTGTAATGTTATTTGGAAGTAATGAAATGGAAGTGGGTGGGGGGTGGGAATCAAAACGATGAAGGCTATGACTTTATTTCTCCTCATTTTTTTCTGCCAACCATTTGGTGCATTTTCATTCAAACATTACATAATGCGAGGATGCGTCGTGTCGCTGTCATTGACGCTGCTGGGCTTGGTGAGGATGTAGGTGCAGCTTAGGTCTGGGTACCAAATGGGCACAGACAAGTGCGTCAAAATGGTTCCTCAGCGATGGTCAACCCCCACCCCTCCACCCTCCCACTCCTATAAATGCCGACGGATGGGTCCCAAAGGAACGTGCTCTCCACAAGGGTAGACACAGCCAACACCTCCACCTTCTCCTTTTACCCCAGCAGCCCCAACAAAACACTGATCTGTCAGGTCATGAAGGACATCCTGTTCCAGCATCTAAATGTAGACTTCATGATGTCATTCTTGCAGAAAAATGACTGTTACCTCCCTGTAGTGTTATTATAAGGCGTTATTCCCTGTCCCTACTCAGCAGTGAGGTAATACTTTAAAGGGCTTTATGAAATGTATCATCTCCTGCAGCATGCTGCATTTTTATGTAGAATAGAAATGTGTACTGTAGGACCATAGCTGTAGATGGACCATGGTGTCATGGTCCATCTGTGCTAATGAAGTATGATAGGCAGTGGTTTCTACTCTGCTCTACATCCGGGTTTGGGGGAACGGGATGAGCGAGCAGTCAGGCCCGACTGTGGAAATGGTGCTGCTCTGTCATGGTTTGTGATGCAGTCCACTTGACTGCTGGAGGGAAAAACCATGCACCACGCAACTCTAACTACTGCGTCACAGAGAGGAGGACAGTGTGTGTGTGTGTGTGTGTGTGTGTGTGCATGGGGGGAGTGGAAACTCCTATGTGGAGGATGTGTGCCTTTCGGGGGGGTGGAGTGAGAGGAGATTTGGGAGAAATGGGCAGTTGTGGGGGTGGGGGAGACCAGAGGGAGCCTCAGTTGACACAGCAACTGGTGCCATTTGATCCGTGCCAATCAATTGACAGGAGCTGTTGTTGCAGGAGGCAATGATCTCGTTGGTGGGCGAAAGAATAGATGGCAAAGATGAAACAAAGGTCAGCCACTGTGCGGAAGGCCTCACAGGGAGGTCATGTTCAGAGGAAAACTGACTACAGTAAGATTCAGTGATTGACACTGAATGATGGAGGTAGAGAGATGGAGAGCTAGAAAGTGATGCCTTCGTGGTGAGTCACCTTGAGAAGGGTGAATACTGGAAAAGATGGAGGAGGGAAGGAATGCCACAAAGAGATGCCTGGGATGTTGCTTATGTGCAGTGATGACACAGAGGAAGGAGCAATGGTGGAGCTTCAGGGGGTGGAATGCTGAACACTGAGATACAGACAGATATACATATATATATATAGATATACAGATATATAAAGAGATATATGAGGATTAATGCATCTGCTGGTATCCCACAATGCACTTGGTGAGGAAGCGTCAGGAGAAGGGCCAATCGCAGTGGGGAATGAATGGTGTGTGGTGTGGCTGTGTGTGTGTGTGTGTGTGTGTGTGTGTGGCAGGCAGCTTGGCTAAACCTCTTCTCATTAATGGTGTCTAATCCATGCATAATGGAGCTGATACAGTAGCTCTCAATATAAAGAGGTCTTTTCATTGTAGTTTCTCCTTTTCAGTCTTGATAATAATTGTCTTCACTGTAGCTCATTAAAATCAGCACAAAGAATCATGCACCAGGATGTGTAACTGTTCTTTATGCACTAGAGATACATCTCAATATTAAACACCCAATACTGGGAATTACGCTTCTGAATAACTTCATAATCCATCACGAGTGGTTGAGCAGCTATCATTTTGAAAAGTAAAGGAGACCATCAATAGAGTAATAGCCTTGCAGCCGGCACACTAACCAGTAAAAAATATGTCAAACTCCTATCCACAGAAAAACAACATGACTGGATTGCATTATGTTGCATTAAGTTGTTCCATTAGTGAAACCAGTTATTGTTTTTTGTGGGACGTTGGTTTACACTGTGCAAATATCCTGTGGCAAATTAATGAGAACCAGTGTTTGGATGAGTCAGATTTCACCTTTCAGTGCATAATGCACATTTAATGAGCAGTTCCTAAGAAATTCTCAGCTGTTTCATCATAGGTTGGTTCTAAAAGCCTTTATTTGACTGACAATACAGATGTTTATTTTGAATATAAAACCACTCTTGATTAAATTGAGAACTAACAGGGCCAAGCATAAGCATGGAGGGGGGCTGTTTCCACAATTTCTTCCTTTTGGATGCATGCTGCTGCTACCTGGTTGTAGTGTTGCACGGTATACCGGTACTAAAATAGTACCGCGGTACTAGAGTATTCCAAACGGTACTATACTGCATTTGGAAAATACCGGTACTTTGAAATTGATTCAATTCATTAATTTAGTTAATTTATTTTACTCATTTATGCACACAAACGCCTTTCTTGTTCCTATTGGAGCACAGATTGCGCAAGTGGTGTGTATGACAACACCTGTATCAACATTCGCAGCTGGC